AGTCATATGAGTGCTTTGTTTTTAGTGTGGATTCTCATGTGTTTGTTTAAATGGGCCTTTTGGGTAAACCTGTGATCACACAGCTCACAACAAAATGGTTTCTGTCCTGTGTGGATTCTCATGTGTTTGTTTAAATGGGCCTTTTGGGTAAACCTGTGATCACACAGCTCACAACAAAATGGTTTCTGTCCTGTGTGGATTCTCATGTGTGTGTTTAAATGTTCCTTTCTGGTAAACTTTTGATCACACAGCTCACAACAAAATGGTTTCTGTCCTGTATGGATTTTCATGTGTGTGGTCAAATTGTCTTTTCGGTTAAATCTTTGATCACACACCTCACAACTAAATGGTTTCTGTCCTGTGTGGATTTTCATGTGCGTGGTTAAACAGTCTTTTCGGCTAAACCTTCGATCACACAGCTCACAACAAAACTGTTTCTGTCCTATTTTGTTGTTTTTACCAACTGTTTCAGGAACCATACTGGGAGGAGACTCCCAGTTCATATCAATGTATTCAGGTTTTGATCCAGAGTCAAAGTGTTTCAGCTGAAAGTCTGGATTGTTCACATAATTATCCTCTTCATCATCCTCACTGACTTCAGTTTCTGAAGAGTCAGAATCATCTTCATGAGTACTCAGATTTTGGTTTACTGTAGTTTCTGCTCCTCCACAGGACTCTCCACCAGTTGTTGATTCCAGGTTGTCAGCTGAGCTGCTGGTTGGAACATCTCTGACTTCATCTTGGTGTTGATGAAGCTGTAAGAACTCAGGTTTATCTTCATCATCCTCATGCTTCACAGGAACTTCAGTGAATGAAAAGATGGTGTCATCAGTCTCCTCCTTCACATTGAGCTGCTCCTCTCCCAGGCTGATCCATAGTTCCTCCTCTTCTTCTTTTATATGGAGGTGTTCTTGGTCCTGCTGGTCCACATCAGGCTTCAGTTCTTCAGGATCTTCTTTAATCTCCATCAACTCCTGATCAGCTTCAGGAACCACTGAAACACAAGAACAGTACATTATGGAGAACTGTAGCTTTATATTCACACATATATCTCTTGTTGGACTGCTCAGGTCACAGAATTTTATTTTTAACTAGAAGCACTCGGAGAGTGCAAACCTCCACCAAGGCCAATTTCCCCCATCCTGCAATAGAGTTACTGCACAAAAGGATAGATGGAAACACATTTGCCTAATAAGTTCTGACGTAGAGAACATTTAAGCAGGTAGTATGTATGAGATTTTTTCCCAGTGGAGTTCAATGCGGAAAAAAAATGTCAGACTCGACACCAGACGTTATTCATTCACAAACTGGTCCCGGATTAAGCTCCAAAGTTTTCATCAGTCAGATTCCACCGTGTAAAACACGGAGACCTCACATTAGGAATGTGCGATATGGCAAAAAATTCATATCACAATATACATTATGATGAGTGGCGGTAACGATACATATCACAATATAAAACTTAGAATAGAAAATAAATAAATCACACATTGATTGAGTGGAAAAAATATGCATAGGTAAAAAAATTTAGACCTTAAAATCTCCTTTTTTTAAAGGACACTTTAAAGTCTCCCATAAAAATCTAAATTTAAGGGAGATCTACCTGGTTAAATCA